GTGCAGTTCCTTTTGAAAATATAGTTTAAAAAATGTGCCATTATCAGTCTCAACCTGATACGACTGTGTTGAAACCAGGAGAAAATGCTGCATACATTTTCACAGCGAAAGTAAAATATTAATTCAATTGTATTTTTGTATTGTCCTAATTCACAACAGAAGTGGTCTAGGAGGTCTTTACAAAGTTGCCAATTCACCAACAAACATCCGAGAATCAAACAGTTCGAGAATACAATAATAACACATAAATCCATTGGTCCATAGAGGGTGGGATGACCATGTCGATGAATGTCCACAAATGTCCATGCCTCGGATCATCACTATTCTTCGACCCACCTGCATCGGCAAAGAACAACACGAAAACCCAGTGAAAAAAAGGTGAGTAATCGCAAGGAGTCTCACAGCAAAACCAGTCCTCAACTTTCCTTCTTCATATTAGTGGAAAACATAGATTAAAGTCCAACATAGACACAAAAAAGACAGAACATACAAGTTATACAATAAAAAGACTGTGTTTTTCATACTTGTATTAAAGAGCCATGTGTCACTATTTGAGGCTATTGTCTGAGAGCTGATTGGCTGAGGGAGGGCGGTCATCTCTCTAGATTAGCTTTTTCAGACAAAAGGATTAAAGATGTAACAGAGGCCAAACATACATCCGTGTGGAAGAACCAAACTGCTTTACAGCCAGGAAACTTTTTGTGTGTTTGTGAAATTAGGTACCCCAGCTTTAGCTTTGTCCATTCAATGAAGGTGTAAACATTGTGGATAGCACTTGGATACGTTTAAGGTCAAGGCCCAGAGTGATTCTTGGAACAAAACTACATAGTTACTGTAGTTTTACAAATGAGACAATCTGAAATCCTCACAGCCCTCTATGACGTTTGTAAGTACACACACAGCATGTTTGGAAATATGAAGAGACAGGTTTGACTATAGCAGATACAGACAGCGCGTCGCTGTGTGCGCCTGGTCAGAGATCTGCTTCCGTCTTCAGCCACAAAGAAGCATCAGGGAATCAAGGCCTGGAAACTTGAAAGACCCAAGCGCCTCCGCTGTCATGAGCAGAGGGTGAAGGGAAATATTGGAGACGAGCTGGTTTGGGCTTTGTAGACGGCAGCATCTGTTCTGCACCCCACCCTCGCTGACAGGTGGAAGGGATTCGCACCCCCAACCAACGCACAGGGCTCAAAGGCACTGACATATGATGGCACACATGGTCTCCTGCAGGGGACCCACACTGGCCCATGCTGCCCCCCAGTGTCAGGAGGGCTAACACCGTCTGCTCTGCCGGTCAGACTTGTGCAGAGAGTGAGACAAACATTGCCTTTGAAGACAGTGTGTGTGATAAAATAAACAGTTATTATTGAGAATAGATTTTCAGCTCAGATACAGCTCCAATGACAGAAACAATATATCTGAAATTAACAGAATTAGAACTTGTAGAATAGGCAACATAAACACACAATGAGAATAATATGGTAGAAAATCAATGTTTTTCGTTGTTTTATTGATAAAGGACAATAATACAACATGAACACAAAAGAGAACACAGAATGACAACACAAAGAGCCTCACAACCCAAATCACATCAGATCACAATGAATACATATATATATACAAAAAGAAAATCACACACACAATTTCATAATACTACAATACATACAATCCCAGACAGAACACAACAAGACAAAAAAGGCGGAAAACAGATGAAGTCATTTCCAAATATGCTTCTCAACTACTCATTATTATGGTCACATAAATATGTCAATCAGAAGAGAGTGACATTTGGTTTAACATCCAATAGCTCACAATTTAAATAGAAAGGCTTTGCTTTGGGGGCAGTTTTTCTGTGGCATTCCTCGGCATTCGGAAACTGGAATTCTGGGAAAGTGAAGTTGGATCTGGTGAGACCACAGGGCTCGCCCCAGGAGCTCTATGTTCACTTGTGTCTATTCAATTAAGATATGTAAACTCTAATGTCTCCTGGCCCATTTATACAAGATACCTGAATAAAATGTATTCAAAATTAAAACCAGATTTGGGGATCTGTAACAAAAGCAAAAAGATGGAATACACATAAAATTCCCAAGTGGTAGTTCTAGCTCATTTGATCTTAAGGTGTTTTTTATTGTATAAATTTGCATATCATTTGCAGCATAAAAATCAGAAGACAGGATTTTGTCTCAAAAAAGAAAGTTCAACTCATTTCTGAATGTTACATATACCAAGGAAGAAGAGAAGCAATTACAAGTGTGGACTGACTGTCGGCCAAGTGACGGCTGAATGGTCTCATTTAGGGCCGTGTCAGAAATGTGATGATCAGTCACAGAGGAGCTACACTCTGGACTGAGGTGGCACATCCTGCCATGACGGTGGTACCGCCCTGTGGCTACGGTACACATACACAAGATAGATTTATGTGGAAGAAGTGACTTGACTAAGGACTAGTGTTGAGTGTAACTCAATTACTGTAATCAGATTACTTATTTGAGAAACAAGCAAACGCAGCTTAGACATGGATCATGTAGAATAGAAATCTGCATTATAAACACCTCGAACATGTTTCATGTTGGTGTTCCCTCATAGTCGTCTACAGCTACTGTTTTTTTATATATGTATTTACAACGGCAAAAGTATAACTCTCCAGTGTTCCTTTGAGACTAAGTGTAATATCAGTAATATATGTAACTAATGACTTTTTGCCACACACATGGACAGTTCAGTACTTTAGCCTCAGAGTCACACTCTGACAGCTCCTGGTACTTAGCTCCTGATCTGAGGGGAACAGGTTGTGACAAGTGAGAGGACTCTTAAAACACAGAATATGGAAATCCTAAAGTGAGTAGCATAATGTGGCGCTAATAACATATGGGCCCCTGTCATGTGACTGCCCTCTGCTCCAGCACCCATCCAAAAGACACCTTCAAACCAAGGAGGAGCAACATTTACTGTATAAACACGACTTGTTCCTTTCGATGGCTACTTTGTCCATTAGCTGGTTATGGATGACATAAAACGTACATTGTTTCGTAATAATATAGCATACATGGTCCATTGATTCATCCTGGTTGAAAACAAACTCCATACTGTCTATTGTTGAAACTGATAGGTCACTCATTTGGTCTATGTAAGGTCAACATTAAAATGTCTCCAACCCAGCTGTTTCCAAAGTCTACTTTACAGAGGCTGTAGGGCACAGAGGAAAGTCTTACTTTGAAAAAAAACTAAAATGTACACAAAAACAATAAGGGGAAACAAAACCATTCTAAGTTTGTAACCTTTGGCGGTGCGGGGGTGAAGCGTTTGAGTGACGCACTGCTCTATACTGAGGACAAATGAGTTTGCAATCACTTTTCAATACAAATTATATGACTGCAATCAGCATTGTCCTCATCACTTTCCACAGACCAACATCTCCCAGGCAATCTCTGCAATCTCCTGAGTTGCAACAATGCGACGGCCTTTTGAGCAGGCACTTTCCATAGTAGACGTATGGAATGAGCTTTTGCGAGAGTGGCAATTGTTCCACCGCAGTAATTGCAGTAGCGATGCCTGCAGATAATTAGGGTGCCCACAGAGATGCATAAACAACTTGACTGGAAGAAATGGAAAGGGCTCCTAATCTAGACCCACAAAAGTAAAAAAATAAAAATAAAATCAAAACAGTAGCAAAAACTCAAAAGGCCAGTGGATTCCTGAATTTTTTCTGCAACTCAAGGACACATCCTCCAAATTACAGGCTCAGAAGAAAGTGGTTGGGCCGGTGATCGTTGGGCTGTGTATTTCAGGTGTTGCAGAACAGCTGGTGTTGCAAATGAAAAACGATGGTGTGGGAGGAGGGAGTCTGAATAAATACAATCCTGGGCAAGATTAATGTTTCCTGAGAGATGTGTGGCGTAATTGTTTTTTATGGTGACTGACGTGAAGGAGAGGCCATTGTGTGCACAGTATACCGCTGTAGGGCTGTTGCATTGTGGGTATTGGAGCCTATGCCTGATTTGGTAAATGACAAGTTGGTAAATATAAGTCAGGACTTGCGCCTGGTATCTTGCAAACACACAATGGAATGAATAATGTAGAATAAAAACATTGGCTGTTGGCATTTATGACAGAAATAGGTAAATATGAAACAAAAAAAATTGTAACGTAGAAGCTGGAATGGCCGTATAAAAATGTAGCTTGATCCTTTATCATTAAACAGTAATGTTTTATCATTAAATATAAGTTATGCAATATTGACCAACAACAAAAAACAGCTCTCCCCCAATTGCCTGAGTAGGTAAAACATTTCAGAGCATGTTGTGGTCTGACATGTTCAGTCACTAAAACCACTGTTAAAGTTAGGTACAGCAGCTTTAGTTGCACCTTACGGTTAAGCCTTTACTTTCAAAAGGAAAATAAAAACTGGAGCTTTTGATTGACACACAGCAGGGTTAAAACCAGTGATCCCATTGCAGTGACTGAAATTGTGTAGGCTTTGGCACCCTCTGCAGGATCTCATAAGAACTGGAAAATGGAAAAATTACAAGATTTAAAAGTACAGAATTTAAAACTGACCAAAAGTAAAAAAAAAAAAAAAAAAAAACACAAGGGGCAAATGTAGATATAAAAAGCAAGGCCAATTTGAGAACTTTGAAACGCGTTTATTTTACAATTTGTTTTTATTTAAAATCAAAGCCCGTCAATACTCCAAGTAAAACAATGATTGCGCAATTGAAGACTTATTTTAGGTGCAAAGAGTTTAATTTCCATCTAAACTGTCAGAAGTTGTAAAGCAACATGAGCAAACCATTACAGCTCTAGGTGGCACTGTGGCTCCAAGTGCAAACACAGATGACAGTCCTCAATTACGTTTACTGATTGATCTTAAATAGAACACTAAACAGCAGTGGCATTTTCCAAAACGGACTTTCAACTACTAAGCAGTAAGAGAACATACAAGGTCTACTGCAGATTGATAATGATAAAGACACCGGATGGATTTTCTCAAAACAAATTTATTGAACAACAACTTTCTTGTTTGCAGCAGACACCTGTGAAGACAAAAGACATGAGTTACTCATCTGCCACATTCACATCGAGGCCGTGAGACTACAGTGAACTCTGAACGAGGAAAAAATAATGCAAAGTCAGACATGGCCACGGTCGGCTCATTTGCATAGTTTAACAAAGAAAGCTTGGACCATATGCTGAACACTCCGAGCGTGAAATACCCAAAGTTATCTTTACCCTTGGATTAGCCCTATTCTGTCCCCTCTGCTGATCTGACAAGACACAAGAGTGAATTTACTTAAATGATGGCAAACAATTAGTGGTGACATGAATTAGCCCAAGGACACAGCCTGCTGCTGACAACAGTCTCGTAGGCAGTGTACAAGCAACTTGACGTTTCAAAACTCATCTAAATTTGAAGGACTCAATCTGACGTGTTCTGAGTTGCATTATTATTTTTGCAGCCCCATATGGGCAGGGGAACAAGTGAATCTTTGAGAATCAATATTCACACAAACATGAGTTATGACTTATTTCAGCCAGACCATGGTTATTTTAGCAGGGTTAATCTTTTTGATTAAATCACTTTTTTCCTCCATACAACACTGGACACAATCATCCAAGTAAACCTCAGGCGTCTGGGTCGACTGCACCCGGGAGAAGCAGCTGATGCAAGATGCACCTTAAGACTTTTTGGGAACATTTGTAGCCACTAGTGCTGATTTTTCACCTCGTAACCATTTCATGGATTACTTTGGACCCAGCACAGCTATAAGATTTTAGATTATACAATCTACACCCAGATAATGTTCATATTTTGGTTATTATGTGGCAGGTCCTTTTAACCAGAGGATAGCACAAGGGTTAAAAAGTTGGTTCTCTGCAATCCCCAAGCACTTTCTGGCATAAAAAGGTTTTTGCCTTTGTAACATTTTTGTACCATTACTTAATTCAACAATGCCGCTTTAAATGAACTGTTATTCTCCAAGGCAGTCTGAAGAATTCACCTTCCTCTGCTGCTCGTGAACAACTCATGTTAGTGCCACATGGACAAACTGATTTGATTCTGCACCGACCAGTCTGAAAATGGACTAATTTCTTATTGGACAATATACAGTCCTTTTATGATTTACCTGCAATTGATTGATCTGTACATTTACATTTGACAGGTATAAAAGACTAGTTATGTTAACAGCTCACCTGGCCAGCAATTCGGTCCAGATCTCTGGTTCCCTGGGCGGTGAGTCTGCGACCACTGAGGACAGACCAAACATTCTTATCAAAACAGTTCCTACAATTAAGTCCGGAAGCAACATGCACGTCAGGTTCTACAAAAAATGAATACGTAATCGTCGACTGACCCATTGGGATCCTTCTCGATCATCTTGAGCAGCTCCAGAGCCTGCAGCACTTTGCGGGCGACGTTCTTTGAGCCTACGCTGTAATGAGCAGGACACACGCCGTTCCTTTGGCGACCTCCGTAGATCTTTGTCATGGAGCCAACACCTGCTCCTCCACGCAGGTAGAGGTGACGCACTGTGGACGCTGTCAGAATAATTACCATTGTTAGAATCATCGTCTTCGAAAGAACCGGAAAAAGAACTGGTGTTCAGACAGACAATACATTTCAAATGGAATCTACAAACTGTACAGGCAACAAATGTAAAAAATATTTTGACAGTGTCTGTTGGCACCAAAATCAGTGGACAGTCACAATGTGTGATTGTCGGCTCCTGGAGTCAGCGCACTTGTGTAAAATGTTGGGCAAACAGTGACATAAGAATATCACAAGTTGTAAAATCAAACAGTCCAGACGCTGTACAACTGATGTAAGGGACACTTTGTAAGTTTGCTGGGCTGTGGACACTGGTTAAGGAGGGTTCTTTGAGCATAAAAAATTCCTAACGCATTTGCAAACTGTTTCAGAGCCAATGTTAGCATAGCATCATGGTCTAAAGCTAGACAACCTTGCGCTTGGACCTTTGTCCCCCTACAATGAAAAAAAAACGATGTAGGATTCTGTGCGAGGCTCGATCAGTTTAGCAAGTAATCTCTGCCCGTCACTAAACTCACAATACAAAATGATTGTCAAAACATGTTTATAAAAGTAAATATTAATTTTTTGAGAATCATTTTGGGACCATAGCCTAAACATTTGCAGCGCATGTTAAGCTAAAATCAGTGCATCCCCAATTATAGCATGTTGAATGACTGCGTCTCAGCCTTATTCTTTGAAGTATATGCAGTGGAGACCATAGGTTTGAGAATAACAGGTTAGGACAGTGGTCATAAAAGTAATAGTTTTAAATGTGAAACTGTCACAAGAACTTCACTACATGTGAATTTAAATATATTTTAAAAGTCCATGTCGACTTACAACTAAAAGACTACACAATAAGTAATTCATCAAGCCTTTGTAGTGTTGATAATTATCAGCAATTTGTTTGCCTTCCACATTGGCTTCACATGAGTTACAGAAATAAACTAACATTTAATCAAGCTGTTTCAGCAGAAGCCATGCGACTTGTTTCTTAGGCCCCGTTTAGACTGAGACAGTAAAATGCAGAGTTGGGCATCTGTTTTGCCTCCTGTTTACATGTAAATGGGCTCGTCATTATCGGTTGTCTGCTTGCCCGGGGCAACTAAAGATTTGGGACGGTCAAGTACGCTGTGATCGCAAGTTGACCGATCGGGCAAGTGATTTATTACTTTAACCCATTCAGGCCGGGAACACATTTCTTCATCTAGAGACGGGAGCGGCCGTTTCTTTTTTTGCCTAATAAATGCATCTGGATAAACCAGGAATTAAAATGTTCCGCGATCTACAACTTTTTTCCACTGAAAATGTCATTTGTTAAATGTGTGGCCGCTGGAACTTTCTGTTTACAATACATACTCGAACGGGATATACATCCTTCGTTCTGAGCACAGGTCAGCTGTGGCCGCTTCGTACGGACAGCCACTTTGACAACAACTCTGAACGCACATCCGTAACTTTGTAACGAGCACGGACCATAGACGCGGACAGAAAACATAGTCGCACGTTCAAGACCATTCCAGTTTTCTTCAAGTACGGGTTTCCACCTCGTCTCCCCCCGAAGAGCAACCCAACCCAAAATTAAAGCTCTGGTGCCTAAAATTCACCCATGCTGTGCAAAGTAAAATCTTGGTAACAAATCCAATATAACACAACAGGAGTCTTGTTTTTTTTAATCTTGCATACTTACGAGCCCTGGGAGTCATTATTTAACTTTTTGAGCAGAGAGTGGTGTTTAAACATTTTTCCCACACATGTCACTTTATTGCCAAACTCTTAACTCATTGTATTGAGAAATATTTGGGCAAGTAAAATATAAATGGTACTTGCCCAAACGGCAAGTGGCTAACAAAGCTTAAAAGGAACAGGCCACCGTTTTTACATACTGACATATGTTCTTACTAGGGATGTACCGAATCCAGGTTCGGCCGAATATTGGCTTTTTTGACGGGGTTCGGTTTCTGGCCGAACCTTAGAATTTTCCCCCACCGAACCCGAACCCTGCACTTACACAAAGCGCTGTGGCTGTTTGATTCGTCACGGAAATCAGATTCGTTCTGAGTGTAAATAAACATGCACTTTAGCGGAGGTTTATATCCTCTTGCTCTGTTCCTCTTCGGGTGCGCTGAGGTCTCTTCCTGGTCATGTGATCCCCACGGTCCAATTAGCTCTAGTCATATGCCGGTGCGAGGGGATGTTATGATTCTTGTTTTCACCTGTAATGCGGTTCTGATGGGATCATAAACTAACTTCCTATACACCAACTTTATGGAGCCGATTACCAGTGCCAGGTGGTTGTCATCTGAGCTGCGTATGACTGTAGAAGCAGAGTTGGTGAGTCCATGTTGGGCCAACTAGCCTCTTAGCATTAGCTTCTCTCCAACTTGTCTCTGATGAGTTTGGCATATTTCTCAAATGTCCATATATGTAATGTTTTGACCTGAACCAGTGGAAGCTATTTATGCATGTATGGTGCTTTAGCTCTTATTTTTACATGACATGCACAGTAATATATGTACTTTATCTCTGAAGTTTTACACTGCTGTGAACTGAATTTGTTTAATAAGCGGGAATATTATAAATGTTATAATAGATTCTGGTCGCGCTACATGTCCAATTTGCAATGCCGATTTGTCTCGTGGTGGTAAGGACCCTAAACAGTACACAACACCGCCGCTGTTAAAACATTTGCATATGAAACATCAATGGACTGAGGATGGAATAGGATTCGGTATTCGGCCGAACCCCAAAAACCTAGATATGGTACATCCCTAGTTCTTACCTTAGAGTAGTTGATATGTAGCTGTGTGATCTTTGTCCGTGCGCTCTGTCTTGCAAACGGAGCACAAACGCAGCCTCTTCCACATTCTGTATAGTAACAAATCAGCTCCCTTTAGAAGCTACCAATCTCTTCCACGTGTTCCCTATTTTAATTCAGTTACGTGACGCGTTACACTACCAAGTATAGTGACACAGAAATTTAACATGTAGATTTTCTCAGCGGATAAAAAGGGGAACTATATTGTGAGGCGGAATAATACGAAGAGCGCTATGTCCGCGCACTAACTCCAACAAGTCACGCTGCTTCTATTGACGGAAGTGAGCGGGAGAGAAGTCTTTTGGAGTTAGTGCGCAGACATGGCGCTCCTCGTATCATTACGCCTCACAATATAGTCCCCCTTTTTATACGCTGAGAAAATCGACGTGTTACATTTCGGTGTTACGTGACGTGTTACACTACAAAGTATAGTAACCATTTAAATAGTTAAGAGTTTGGTAGATTCTAAAGGGAGCTGATTTGGTACTATACAGTCTGTGGAAGAGGCTGCGTTTGTGCTCCGTTTGCAAGACAGAGCGCACGGACAAAGATCACACAGCTACATATCAACTAGTCTAAGGTACGACCATATGTCAGTAAGTAAAAACGGTGGCCTATTCCTTTAATGTCAAGGCCTGTATAGACTATTCCAGGGGGATGAAAACGCAAGCGTTGAGAAACAGCCTAGAGTGGAACAGAACAGATCCGCTGCGGGGGGATTCTACACAGCCGCTTGAAGTCTGCCTGCTATGACCACCACTTCCTCGCACGTACATTTAGACATGCACAGTTGCAGAGAACAAACCTAAATGGCAGAGGGTACACTAGCTACGTACGCGTCGAGCACCAGTGTGGCAAATTCTGCTCCTTTGCCCAAACAACATTTACACTACTATGGTTAAACAAAGAATGAGGTTTGTGCATTCCTGCACGTCTTTGAGGTGGCCTGCGGAGGATGTTGTGGTTCTACAGCTAGGAGGTCGCACGTGTCGTGTTGGTAGCATAGCACTACACACCTACTGACATGGCACTAGAACAACATTGATTTTGTCGCCATCTAAGCGTTGTGGACTTTGAATAAGGAGCCTGGTCATTTTAGCAAATTGCTTTGCAACGTCTCTGACTTAACAGGGTCTTAGAAAAGTGAAGAGGTGACCGTTCAAAAAAACACATGTGAAAACAGTTAAGAGCTAGAAAAGTTATTGGTTTAAGAGTTTAGTACCCCAGCTTGGATTAATAACTTACCAGCTCTGATGTAGAACCAGTTCTCGTCACTGGGGGCCAGCTCCTTGTGCCTGCCCAGCTTGACCAGGTCCACCCAGTCAGGTACCTTCAGCTTTCCTGACCTAAACACGGGATTGTTAGAGACGTGCGTGACTGAACATTAATACTCAAGGATTAATCTCACTTTTTCAGGAAGGCCGCCAGGGCACGGACGAACTCCTGCTGGTTGACGTCTTTCACTGTGACACCAGGCATCTAAAACAAGACCATCAACATGGCTTTTAATTCAGACTAGGTCCACGCTATCAGAGCAGCACACCCTTTGATCGTCACACAGGGACGTTCAGAGTTTCCGCGCACATACACTTGGAATATAAAGGGCTCGGGAGAGAGGATCATGTCTGAATATAAGGCTATAAAAAGTCTACGACATAAAAATGTGGATGAAAAATTACAGCGATAAGACAGTAACGATAGCTGTGTAGCATCAGCCCATGTTGTCTAGCGGCATTAGCTTCCTTAGCATTTTTAGCATTGCCCAGAATGGATCTATAAGTTTTTACCACATTACGATCAGATAATGACAATACTGGCACTGCTGTACACATTTAGTGTAAAGAAGCACAATGGGTTAAAGAAAGTAGATGTTTTAATAGTGTCGTTAGCAACAAGCTAATGTGCTACAACGAGGGAGACAGGGGGCAGCCATTACCATCAGGCTCAGGAACCCCGCAGACCGCCTCAGAAAACTACATTATAGTGCTATAATACCGAACGGAGAGCAGTGACGACTACACGGGGTGGTGCTCTACTGTATTATTCTACTTCGGTTTTGCTTCTGGACATCTAAATGGCTCTAGGTGGGCACAAATGGATATAAATTCTCCTTCTGAGCGAGAGCTATACTTTACCTTGCGCGTGGACAGCGAAGGGAAGAGGGAGGCACGGGGTTTCCAATGCCACTTAAAACGGACTAATCTCGTTCACGCGAGAACTCAAGAGATGATCTGAACCTCGGCATGGATCACGGATACAAATATGTATATAAATATCTGATCATATTGCTATTATACAGAATATGGTTTACACATGCTTATAATATCATAGGTGTATTATAATAAGGTCTACATCATTATCTGCAGTCGTCTACGACGACAACATCGGTACTCAGCTGGAGGTCCGTAGGGAGTAAACCAGAGGCATGTGCAGAAACATAAATAAATAAACAATACGTTTTATTTCAAACATTGAACACAATTGGTGTATGTCTACAATTACAAGCATTGTACGTTTGGTTCAGTCCAAGCATGTACTAAATGTATTTAGAAAAATCTAATATTCAAGTACATGTTTTACCATTATTGACTCTTGATTGAGTTGAGTTTAGGACAGTGAGGATCCAGGACATGTATGCACATCTCTGGATGTCAGTTTGTAAATTATTGCATTGCCTGGGGTCTAATATTGTTTCATTTTTAAATCTGTTGACTCTTTTGAGAAGTCCTCAGAGACAACTGATGTTGTGAATTAGGGTAGCACAAATAAAATTGAATTAATTCATTTTGCCAATATATTCACATGAAATTTAAACGAAATACTCACAAAACAATGAGTTATCAACAAACTTTCCACACGCAAAAAACAAAAACAAAAGAGAGAGCTGACATAACAGTAAAGCTTAAACAGTTATGATCCTGACCAAAATGAGTGTAACACCATTTTTATTTGTTTCCCCCTTCAACAGCAGGAGGTGCTCATGCCCTGCAGGCAGGAGGGCACAGTGCAAAAAGGTTGGGAACCACAGTCTACACCCATGATCCTGGTGCTGAGCACAGATGAGATGTATATTGTCACGTTCATTGCTGCCTAGTCAGAAAGAAGCACCCCACTCTTTTGCGTATAAATGATTGAACATCTATGTCTAATCATATTTGCCAATTTATTTTTAAGCAGGTTGTATAACCATTCTTTAAAAAATATGACTGCTTTGAAGGACATCTACTGAATGAAACAGAAACTATAAAATTATAAGAGGTAAACATTCAGTCATTTCTGGGAGAAGACCTCAAGAAAGACCCAGGTCATGCCTTATCTTTCCTCTGGCCCGCAAATTAACTTGGGATTTTCTCAGATGATCTAAGATTTGTTTTCATCTCTTTAGCTTTTAATAATAATGCCTTATTCACTGTCCTGTTTAACTATCAATTAATTACTTAGTGCTACACCAGCAGTTATGGCTATGCATATACTGCTACTAATTATGGTTATGGATAATTCTCAACCCGCCCGGCCTTATAACAGCATTGAGGGGTGGCATAAGTGACTTAGCATAAAGAAGGTTTCACCCTCCTGTTGCAACAAATGTTAATTTCTCATCACCCTAAAACACGTGTGAACGTCGCTGGATAAAATAAACTTTTAAATATATTTATTTATTCATAAATTGTTTTCATTGATGAATTTCAGTGGCATTTGTTTCTTGCACTTTTTAAGTTTGTTTTGTTTTATATGTTTGTCTGGTGCACACTGGGTACTTTTGCACATGTATTCCAATGTGGTTTTCTACTGCAAATGGAAAATAAAATGAATCGGAATCTATTCGTAAAGCTTGTAATTGAGGAGGTCCTACTGCTTGTGTCTATGGATTTTTTTTTAAGAGGCTGAAGTTGTGGTCAGATCAGCAGAAAAGCAACGTCGCAGATGACAATTCTTTTCCCCCTTGTGTTGTTTAAGCTGTAACTCCGTGGAGAAAGCAGTTGATGGACGTGGCACAGAAATGCTGCACAGTGCGTTCTTCGATTAAACATCGAGAGACTCACAGACGCTTATCCATTTAGCCTATTCACACATTTCCCTGACTGGCATCTGCGGTGCCCTTTGCTCATCTGACGTGAAAAGGCCAGCCTCGCTCCCACACTGACACTGTTTGCTTTGACTGGACAGATATAGAGGGAGTGCAGCGGGAGAAGAGCCGCATATCAAATCAGTTACAGCTACAGCTACAATTATACAGGAGCTGCAGAGGTGACACCGAATAGAAATATACAAATCAAATCTTTGGAATTCAGCTGCAAAACCTGTCATCATCAGACCTTCATAACAGGTAATATGACCTTTTTGAACCAAGTTAACACTGAGTTTCCCATGATTATGAAACTACTAGAACTCCCAGAGCCATCATTTTGACTGCTCCCATTCAAACTGATATAATTTTAGAGAAAATCCCCTATAATGTAATTAAATTATATATTTTTTCCAACTTTACTCACTCAAAATCAGTTAATATGACTTGAAATACAGCAAACAATGTGTTTTTTAAAAGGATAATGCTTAAGACCAAATGCTAATGTCAGACAGTGTGTTGCTATGGTTACCAGTACTCACCAGTAATGTATTAATCATGATGGCATTGAAATAAACTAAATATACATAACAAAAAAGTGTGAGTAATTACACTTCCAAAACAAAAAGCTGTCAAATTGACTGCTCTGGGAGTTCAGGTGTAAAGTCATTTGACCAGACTCACTCACAGCAGAAGGGATACTCTGCCCTTTTTGAGTGATGTGATTTGATGCAAGACTATACTGTAGTATTTTAATTAGGACAATCTATTACTGTGGGACTGAGTGATCCTTGTGATTCCAATCAAAAAGGTGAAATTAAAATCCATTAATTTTACTCAAGCCTTCAGAGCGATCAGACCTGAGACAACTGTGTAGTGGTGATTAGAGTGCTGTAAAGAGGTTATTGCAGCCAAGCAAGATTTTCTCGCCGAAAACTGAGCACAAATGTTGGAGAAAAGGTCAAACTCATTATATCGAATGGGCAGGTGGCGTGTTGCAGTGGCATACAGCTATTATGATAATCGCCCATTGTGTTATGTGTGAGCATTGCTGCAAATTAGCTGTCAATCAAGTCGTAAAGGCTTTTTGGAGAGAATTGTTCAAATAGGAGTTTAAGCCTGCATATTTATACACATATTTCATGATTGAAAGACGTGTGAATGCAACACGGGTAGATACAAGAGGTTTTAGTCCAAACAGAGAACGGATGATGGAATTGTGCGAACAGTGTGTAATTGTTTTTGCATTGTGCTCACATCCGAGAACTTCTGTCAAGTGTATACTGTTGCCTGACCTTTTCACTCCAAGCACGTTTACTGCTCGGCAATACCTATCACAATATGTCTGTCTCTCTGCCCCCAGCGTAAACTTGGAAATTTTCCGTACCCAATCGCATCTGTACTTTCAACGCAATTTTATTTTGACAGAGATGTCTTTGTCACTACAATCCAAACAATGCCCTTGTCGGTTCAGAGTGTGAAATCTCGAAGGATTGCATGGATTTGTGAATGCCGCATTGAAAATACATAATGACGTGATTATGGCTCGGGCTGGAAATCACTGGGTCACTCAAAATGCAATGTTATTCAGCTGTCTACATGGCTGGCAATATCAATGATATCAAGACGATACTGCAAATATACTGTATAATTCACTATGTCCACAATAGCCAACCCTACAGACCAAAAAAGACTTATATACGTGTAACATCTATATATACTTTTATAACTTGTTTGCAACATATGCCAAAGCAAATTCCTTGTTTGTGACTTCCTGTTACTTAAAACGGCAAAAAACAAGATTCCGATAACTCTTTGGTCATCCCGCTTCCCTATATGGACTAATGTCTCTGTATGTTTGTGTTTCTTATCATTGCATTTACTTTGTTCTAATTGTTTGATTCTCTGATCTGTTGTTGACGAATTGACAACTTTGTACAGTCCTTCAAGACGACTGCTGTTGTGAATTAGGGCTATACTGTAGATTTAAGACTACAAACTTAATTTTGTTCGGAGGGGAACTAACTTCACTCTTTCCTAATGTGGCACAACGGAATATTTCAACAATATGGTATGAAGAGGATAGTTATGAAAACAACCACAACAAATGAAACACGTGTGAACAATGCAAAACTAGACAGTCATAAAATAACTGCAGCCTATTGTTTTTTCCATGTCTTTAAATATCCACCCTTCTCAGAATACACAGCCTGCTTGACATTGCAGATCTGATCGGTATTGACCAGTCCAGCTTCTTGTTCATCTTCAGTCCAATTTATTCCTAGGAAATCACAGAGATGAGAGGTTCCTCTTAAAGTCCTGGATGAGTTCTTGGAGAGGCTCAGCAGCAGTTCCAGTCGGCGAAGTCCCTCACATAGATCCTGTAAAAACTCTCTTGTATGTGGGAGTGTCATCTGAAAACTTGCTGTATTACTTAATAAAATGCCACTTTGGAGAGAGAAAAAGATGGGTGCAACAACGGTCCCTTGTGGTACTATCTTGCTGCAGATCAGAGATGATGGACCCGAGTCAAACAAAGAGGTCTGTCCATGTCTGGGATCAAGAGTGGACCTGCATGGTGGCGAGTCTATCCTTGAGGAGAAGGATCTGGATTGTGGTACAGGCAATGAGGAAATAGAATTGTTAAAAAAATGTTGGCTGCTGAGCCCATTAGAAAAATACCCAGCGAACATTTTCTCTTCGATATTTGCACTCACTCACAAAGATAACGGATATTCAACTTGACCTCACATGACTGACACAAAAAGTACTCTCACTCTTCTCGAGATGCATGAGGGCCCACTCCCGCTGTCTTCCTGTTGGCAGATTGAAGGGGATCTTGAGCCCCTTGCACCTGGGATCTGTTTGTTGTTGCCTACACATGCTATAGTGCTACTGGCTCAACACCATAATACTGTATGTAGGGAAGATTTTATATCAGTAGTTTTTTTATTGTCAGAAGTTACATTTCAGAGAGTGAGGCTATATATTTATTGCACTAAAACATTTCCCACTTCTCTATGTGATCTTCTTTTTCTGTCTTGGTTATTGTGCGGTTTCAGTCATGGAGCTGATGTGGCTGTATTGCACGTGTCAGTACATCCTCTTCATCGGAGTGATCGTCTGCAGCGGCCGCTTGTGTCTGAGGGTGCGTAGAAGCAGCGTCCACCAGGGCTTCCAAATCTCCAAGCCGTGGTCCATCTCAAGCTGTCTGTGCCTCACCCTGGGTTTGGTTGGTGCTTTAGGTGGCGCTGTGGAGCTCCCCATCACTGTTATTCTAAACCAAAGAAATCCCACATGTTTGTACACATGCATCACGCTTGTCTGCGGACCCCTGCTCATTCGCCACTTCACAATGTTCCTGGTGATGCTCCTGTCTCTGGACACCCATCTACTGCACCTTCTGGCTCACAGGTAATTCTTCTCACTTGTTTTATACTTCTAACAAGTCTTTCAAACATGTTTTTTTTTTCCCTACTCATTCAACTTTAAACTAATGTTTTTTTGATTAAATCATGTCAGCCAGCAAATTCCTTGACTTGACTTGACTTTCAATCGCTATTATTAACTTAGAGCATCGATATTAGGAGCTGGTTAATAAGGCTAACAGAAATGGACTAAGGGGAAGAAAATGGAGAGATGGATGAATCCAGATAATTAGTTTTATGAAATATATATTTGACATCAGTGCGCAACGTTTTTTTTTTTTTTTAACATTTGTTCCAGTTGTAGACCTCATTTACTTTCAGAAAAGAATAACTATGCATGTTAAATAAAATCACCAAATTTACGTGTTCAAAATGCATCCATATATAAAAAGAATAAAGGTAAATAGCCACGGATAAGGTCGCAAGTTCAGTGCTATAAACACATTGTCAGTTGGGACCCTGATATAAAAGTTATTTATATTTCAAGTCGGCCCCTCATTGTTTTTCCATCCCACCTCACAGGTGTGACATATTAGACAGGTGTCAGTGACTACTTTATGAAGACTTCAGAAACAATTGTCCAACATGACTGAGCGCTACTCTACACTAAAGTTATTATAAAGACTCGGTGAGAAAAATGTAGTCGATACATTATGTAGTCCCAGATCGTCACAACTGAAAGAAATAACTTCAATATAAGCAATTATGTCGATTGATCTGGAAGTCTAAGAAATGTAACACATTTCATTACGACAACTCCCTACACTCTGATAAAGAGTTAGCGCTTCAGGCACTTTTTGTCAAGAATTGTAAGCATCATACAGTTTGATAATTGGATATTTGCAAATGTCTAAATCATACTTTAACAGTCGCTGCCATCAACCTTTTATTTGCAGACACAAAAATGCCATGGTTCCAACCATGTGATCCCAAATCACTTTCATGATGAATGCACAAAGCTACTATCTTGAGCAACAGGAAAGTCTCAGGGAGGCATGCAGAATTGATTGTGATATATTTTTTCTAAGCCTGTAATTTTGCAAAATGTAGTGATTATTTTAATTCAGCAATGTGTCATTAACGGCAAGGTCACAGAGTAAGAAAATTGAATGTTTTTTTATCTTAGGCTTACACTGCATGCACTCCTTAAATGTTTTTTTTATCTGCCTTCAGCTTTGATGACAACAACTATTGCGCATTATTCCAATTAGTTTAAATTTTAAAAGTTTATTTCCATCCAGTGTTGTATTACTTTTTCACAAGGATCTTGTATGAGTCTGGGAGATCAGAACTCTGTTTCAGCGATCCATGTCTTGCTTCCTGAGCCTCTCACAGCCATAACCCCCTGAATCTTGGTACAGTCCTGCAGGGAGGAAGAAAACACAGGGAATGACCTGGTCATTCAGAAAGTTCAGGTCTCTCTTGAAAATAGTAGGTGCAAATTCAAAGAGAACGTAGCCGTATCAATAATGTGTCAGTTTTATATAATACCCGATTTATTTTCTAATGACTTCATAAAAATGAGTTTTACTACATACAAGTTGTATTCAAATCTGTAATTGAATTGAAAACTTGAGCTCATTGATTCAGCTGTGTATGAATTCAGGACGTAAAAGGTCCTGAGTGGAGATTTAGCGTGACGCTCGCTCTCCTCCAATCACAGAACGAGGCAGCGTCCTCTAGCCTCTACAGCGCTGCCAAACACAGTAGTATGTTAGCAGAATTGGCTCTAACTCCCCTTGCTGTAACTGCAGACACAGCAAAACAGCCCGAACGACACAATAGTGAGGAAGAGAAGAGGGAACTAAAGCCCGGGTGAACATAGCTAGCTTACATCATATCCTCTGGAGAGATCTACGGGAGCGGGACCGCCACGGACTACATTTGGATGCGAAACTAGCGGTAATTAGTTGCGCTAATACTAATGTTTGCTCCACATGGCATTATTCATTCACTCTCTCCATACACAGAGGTTTGCTACTTCAGTAGCCACAGCTGCCTTGTAAAGCTACTAATCTGGGCTATCGGCCCACCACCAATCATTCATGTGTACGCCCGATCATACTAGGCAATGTGGGGGAAGTGTCTTGCCTAAAGGAACAACGACAGTTGCCACCTCACTGTAGCACTGGGTGTTCATCAGATCATTACTATTATCTAATTATGTTAGTATTCATAAAATAAATGCAATGATACTGAAGATGGAAATATTCCACTTAAGCCTGAAATAGAAAAACCCAATCTGCGTATGAGAAGAACACTTTGGAAGAACACTAACTGGGAATTTACACAGTAGACGTCAACAGCGCGTACGCGTTGACTGCGCGCATCTGCGCATAACATTATTTGGGTGTGCAGTCTATGGAGCAGTGTTTAGGACAGTACGGGCCAGAGGGCTAATGTAGAGCAACACAAATCACATGCATGTGTTTGTCTTCATGGTCTCTGTGCGCTGGTTTGGCCAGACGCGAGACTTTATGAAAGAAAAAAAAAAACGATGTCTAGAATCACTCTAAAACCTGCCAGTCTTCCTGCTAATGTTTGGATACAAGTGCTGTGTGTGTGTAAAGCCAAGGGTCCCTATAAAAATCATATTTCACATGTGTTTTCAAAAGGAGACGCGTTGCTGCGCGCACAATATTAGAAATCCATCCTAAATTAGGCGCAGCCTCGCGTACGTCCGTCATAAGCACGTATGACACTAGTAGTGTAAATATCCGCATTGCTTAACATGTAAAAATGTTACGCGCGTCTGCTGTGCGTATAACGCGTACGTGCTGTAACGCCTCCTGTATAAATTAGCAGTTAGCAATCAACTTTCAGTCTTGGATTTTGTGCTACTTTATTGTCCCGAGGGTAAGCTTCCACTTCATGAGGGAATTTAAAAGATAACAAACCCACAGCGTTCAGCTCACACAGGGCCCTAACGACTGCATGCAGGTTGTGCATGAAACCACTATGTCCCTCTGCTCAACCTTCATTTTTGCACAAACGTCCCATTTATGCATATTCAGTCAGTCTCATGGGCAAAAACTATTTCTGCTCGTGCAACACCCTGCATGATAAATCAGTTTTCTCTAACGTTGAAGTGTTGTGTTCATTTTGCGCATGCAAGCCTTTGATAATTATGTCCCATAGGTTTGCTGTGATCCAAAAGGACCTTAAGGACCCATATCATCACAGACAGATGATGTTGGTTACAAAACAATAGAGCTTTAACTTCAGCAGCGTAGACCAGGTGTTTACAACGATGACTGACGGCTGACTAAAGTGAACAAATAAACTTATTTGGTGGCTCTATGACGTCTTCAGGATACTCCAGTCATAAAAAAATGGGACACTATGATATGTTTACCTGTATTAACAGTACCTTGGTTCACAAACTCACTTCACTGGATGCTGCAAATGGTTTTAAATTTAAGCACAGAGCAACTAAGCACAATATCACTTTTTTGTTGCTGTTTTTCCATCCAAACTGCAAGACAAGTTTTCATTTTAGTTTTGATTTGCAGTGCTGTTTTGGCCGTGGGAGAGCTTTAGCCACTCATGTGTGAATTTCCATCTGCACTTCAATTTTCTCTTGCTTTTTTATTCCTGTGCATTCAGATACCAGGCGGTGGTGACCCGACGGCGTGCCCTGTGTGTGGTGCTGCTTTGCTGGGTTGCCTCCATCTTGTCTTCCTTCGCCCAGTTCATTGGTTCGGACGTCCTTCATGCCTGGCAGGGCCGTGGAGAAGGACATGGGGGATCGGGGGACGCTGGGACCGCCGGTCTTGGACTTGGGGAGAATTTGACTTCCTCCTTACCAGCTACACCATATCCAAAGTACTATAAAGATCTCAAGGTCATCGGAAAGTTCTTACCTTATGGAGGCTTCCTGTCCAAGTTCTACGTTGAAGACATGGGCAATTTCACCTACGCTCAAATCCATAGCAGCCATTGGGGGGTGTGCTCGGTGGACTCACTTCTTAGTCCCCACTTTTTAGTTTACGTCCATGCCATCACTGTGTTTTTGCTTCCGCTTCTTTGCTTACTCTGTATTTATTTGAATCTCCTCTGCGTGAAACCAAAAGAAACCAACGAAATAGCCAAGAGTGCTTTTTCACAATTGCGTTTCCAAGCTCTATCAATCTTCCTCCTTGTAATTCTATGCGCCCCCGTCCACATCATTCACTCCATGGAGCTGTTTTCCCCCCAGACACTTGTCCCGTCCTGGGTGCACGGAGCGGCAGCCTTCCTCTTCCAGGTGTACAGCTTAGTGCCGCTAGTTCTGTTCACTCCTCCAAAGAAAGAAGGAAGCAGGCCAACACAGGCTTTCTTTCTCTCGACGGGTCCCCACCTCCACCTGCCTCCTGCTTCAGTCGATTCGACCGGAGGCAAGACGCTGCACATGGAGCTGTGTGGAGCGATGCAGGCGGCGCAGTGGGCCACAGCCAAAAACGCCCTCAAAGCTAAAGTCTGTCCCGATGTGTGAGTTCTGCAGGCACGCATGGTTACAGCAAAGAAACATTTTAACAGCTGGTGATGTCAGTGAGGATGGTGTGGAAGGGTGGGAGAATTATAGCACTTGAAATTAATACTCTGGGCTGCAATCCAAATATATTCCTGGTCAACTAAACCCAAAAATACCACCTAATATCTATACAAGTAACTTATTAATAATTATGAAGCATCCATATGTATACATTATGAATCGTTATGAAGCATACGTATGTATACATTATGAATCATTATGAAGCGTATGTATACATTATGAATCGTTATGAAGCATACGTATGTATACATTATGAATCATTATGAAGCATATGTATACATTATGAATCATTATCACTTCACATTTGGCTACCCCTGTTATGGGTATGAATATCTTTTCAAGTGTGTATGTTTGTGTGATCTAGTTTGATCTGTACTAGATCAGGGGTTCCCAAACTTTTCAGGCCAAGACCCCCAAAATAGGCATGAAGCCCCACTGATGTAAAAAATGTAATATAGTAATGACAACTGAAGAATAATCAACGCGTAGTATCTATCAGAAGACCAAATGTAGTATCCATCACAAGACCATATAAATCTTGTTGCACCTCCCAGTTCAATCAATCAATCATGTATAGAACGCTTCTCCTACTCAGGGTAACACAAAGCGCTTCAAAGTCCACACCACACAAACCACTAAACATCACGTAAAACAAACACCAAAATCACCATTAAAAACATAATTGAAATCACACAGCTACTTAAAATCATTAAAAACATTGAAATCACACAAAGGGTTATGTAAGTTCTAAGTAGAAAATGAAAGCCACTCAAGGACTAGGGATATTTTATAACACTTTTGAAGCAAATATGGCTAAAGCTTATGCCAGTACGCAGGAGCCAGTGATTTTCCATTCGATGTTTCGGTTATCTGAAGGTTGACAATTGGTGCCGTGGCAGATTTAGTGTCTGTATAAAGCCCTGCGCATTCTTTCTAAAACTTTGGTCTTGTCGATTTAGCATCAATAAAACACGTTTTCTGACTTTGACACGATCCCAAACCCCCGCGTCATTTTCTTCAAGATACCCCAGACCAAATACAGCAAGTGCATATGAGTGTTTGTGGTTGGCTTTTGGACTAATCAGCCGCAGTGCTCCCTGACGCAGACATTATGAATACCTCGCAAATGAAAAGACCAGTTAATTATCAGGTCCCAAACCAAATGTCAGCGAGAAAATGAAGCCTCCTGACAACGAGTCTGGCGATTGAGCAGATGCTGTGACTTTCTATAGCTCCGGTGGATAAGCCTGTTTAAAGTCATTGTTAAGCCGCTAATACAGTTGCGCGCACTTCATGATAACGAGCTATAAAAAGAAGGTGCTGGAGTTATTGTCATCCAGGCCTGAGAACGTCGGCAATAAACAATCCGATTTTACTTCCACCTTGTTTGTGCTTCCAATTATATCGAAAGAACAGCGTTCATGTTACATCATTCTAGAGAGCCGATAGTTTAACAGTGAACAGCTGAACAAATCTGACAGGCAAAAGTCAGATTTCTTTTCTTAGTTTGCAGGGCTAATTTCTCTGTAATTCCTTGGCCAATCAAAATGAAGCAAAGATGGAGGTTCCACATCGTCTTAGTCGGTATTTGAAGGATTCTATCTGTACTATTTTTAATGCATTGTTGTTATTTATTGTGTGATTTCATGTGAAGTGAATGGAACAACATCTGAACTCTGAACATTGTAAAGCGCTTAGGTGAACTTCGTCTTTAAAAATGTGTTGTATAACTAAACATTACTTACTTAGTTTAATTTTTTAATGTTTCTCATAACTTGTGTGATTGTAGTTGTTTTTAATGGTGGTTTTGGAGTTTGTTTCATGTGATGTGAAGCGCTTTGTGTTGTTCTGTGTAGGAAAAGCACTCCTATAAATAATGATTAAGTGATTGATTGTTTGATATGTATCAATTATGGTAAAATAATGTTCTAATGTAACTGTAACTGGCAATATTCAAAACACACTGCATGATCTTGGCCAGTAGAAGACACTTTCAGACATGAGGAAAAAATGTTAATCTAATCACAATAAAATTATCCAAGAAAACCCTTTTTTTCACCATTTCTTATACAAAAAACAACTACTTTCCTTTTAAGTTGTATTGGCACCTGTCCTCCAACTGAAATTCAATTCTGAATGAACACAACCATATTGATGGGGATTCTATTCAAGGTAACTAATAACATGCAATTTATGAATTCAGCATTATGGAAAATAGCCAGCACCCTTCATTGTCAAAGAAATAATTAACCTGTTAAATCTACACCCGTCCTGCGCTTTTGATTAAACTTGTAAATACAATGGGTAATAAAAGGGGTGCTGCTCGCTCTAATTGGATTGTTCATTGCGGCGCGCGGCTGAAATCTCCATCCACATAAAGCAGTCAGCACATTTTACTATGAGCCGCCTGAGCCCGGCGTTCCTGCAGCGTGCACTTGTGTTGTGTGGATCATTTTACTGCAAATCACAAAGTCATTCTCTGCTTGCTTTTGAAACTGCTTTGCATCTCTTCCAAGTATCATTTCTCGTTCCCTTTGAGTCAGATGGAGAGGAGTTCATTACATTGTCATAGAAAGATTGCACTTGAAAAAATAAGGCCTTTTAACATGCCTGTGCAGGAATAAACCCAAAGTCCATATTGTAGGAAAATAATGAAATGGTTCTGTCATTGAAATATATATGTTTTCAAACCATGTTTTTTAATAGATTTTATAATTGTCAAGATGCATTTTTCTTTTATCAAAACAAAAACAAGCTATGGTCTTATTTTTTGCTTTCTTGTGACTGGAGTTGCGATGGGTGGAGCGTCCATGTCTTCATAGAAATTTAGAAAAATATCTTGTATAAACTTTTTTTATAATATATCTGGTGAGAAATTACCACAATATCAGAGTACAAAATCTACTGTATATTTTTCAAACAATAAAAAGTGACCACAACGTTTCACTGAAAAGCATCGTGGCTGAACCCAAGGCGCAGAGGACAGTAGTTACCACATAGTTTTAATGTGGTAAATGAAAGATTTTATTTTTAGGTGCACTATGGCTATTTATGATTTTAATCCCATGTGTGATTTTAATGTTTTTAATTACTTGTGATATTTTATTTTTTTGTGTGATCTCATTGTGTGTTTGTAATGCCCTTTGGGATTTTAATTGTATTTTTTATGTTTATGTGGATTTTAATCTTTAATCTTTAATCTTGTGTTGCCTTGTGTAGGAAAGGCGCTCTACAAATAAAAGTTGATTGATGGATTGATAGTTATCGCTAATTTATGTCTTCTCTTGATATTTTCATTTGTCAAAACTCCTATGGAGATGTTGATTCGGGAAATTTTGCTTCCGGAATTTGGACGCTCGGTTATTTTGCAGCCCCGTTCCTTAAATTTAAAGTTTCTCCAATGAGCTGAACTCAAATGATTACACTTGACCTGTTCATTGTCTATTTCCCAATACATCATCTGCATGTGTTGTCAATTTACTACTTATTAGAGGGATGTCTCTTTTCAGATTTTGAAATAGAAATTAGACTTGGTTACATCAGATTGATCGATGACAGATTAGATCCCGCATTGATCCCTTGAGAAATGTATCAAATAAATAATTGTACATAGAAAAAGGACTTATTCTGGACTATGACCACAAGCATTACATCTAAATATATAGCTATACTGTATTTAGAGCAACATTTTGCAAACACAATTAAGAACAAAGTATTCAAAGCTACTGTTGGCGTTAACTAAGGAGCTCCCTCAAATGAAATGCAGCGTCCTGATTGAAAACACATATTTGTTTTGCCTCTTGTCGTCTCTTTCCAACGCTCGCCTGAACGCTCTGTACTTCCTGATTATGTCTGGGTCACACTCGCTCTGTCGCCTCAATCAATGGCGCGGCTGCTGTCCACTACTCTGTATAAACTGTCTTCTAATGTCACGCCTCGATATGGCGCTTCTAATCCGCCGTGAAAGTCTCCATCAGCTCCTCTTGTTGACTTGGACTCATACAAGTGTGCCATAAAAGGTCATAAAGGCAGGATTATCTGGTATAAATCCACTGCACACTGCTAGTATATATGAGAGGTGTGATATGCAAAGACTTAGTGGTGGTTTTGGTTTTCGATCGAGGTGGGGTATGATCGTTGTGACGTGAAGCAGCTGGAAGCAAAGGCCGCCGGGGGTCTTGTTTTCCTTCTAAATGTATATTGATTTGGTAATAATGGTTCCCGGTGATCAGTGTGTGGTGTGATTATGGCGGGCGCTAACAGGTGAATAGATTGTTTTTATGCTCCGTTAATGGCTGCTTTCTCTGGGGGCAGTGGAGCGTAGAGTTCAGTTAGCTAATTCAAAGTAACAAAATATACATACATACATACTGTACACTACCGTTCAAAGGTTTGGGGTCACCCAAGTGTTTTCCATGAAAAGTCACACTTATTCACCACCATACGTTGTGAAATGAATAGAAAATAGAGTCAAGACATTGACAAGGTTAGAAATAATGATTTGTATTTGAAATAAGATTTGTTTTACATCCAACTGTGCTTTCGTCAAAGAATCCTCCGTTTGCAGCAATTACAACATTGCACCAAAAACCAGACATTTGCAGCTAGAATAGTCATTTACCACATAAGCAATGTATAGAGTGTATTTCTTTACAGTTAAGACTAGTTTAAAGTTATCTACAGTGCTTTCCTTAAAAAATAAGGACATATCAATGTGACCCCAAACTTTTGAACGGTAGAGTATGTAAAACTATGAATCTATACTGTACTTTAACATATTCTCAACGTTGTGAAGCGCTTTGGGTGACTTTAGTCTGTAAAAATGTGCTATATAAATAAAGACAACTTACATACTTTAATTACAATTTTAACAAAACCAGAATTCTGAAACTACTTGGACTCCCAGAGCAGTATTATGTTTTTTTTTACTTTACAATGTT